CGTGTGTAAATTTCGTTAACGGAAAGAAAATCTTTTCGGTTTAAATTAAATGTGCGTGATTATCGGAGGCCACAAGTTCCGTGCCTCCTAGGAGCAGGCCAGCGTCCTGCTGCGGCCTGCGGCTGGCAGGTGGCGCTCCCTCGCGGCCCTCTTGCGAATCCTGCCCCATCCGTCACGCATTGGTGCGTGTGGCGGCGGGGCAGGCGGGGCCGGGCGGGGCGCTTGCTGTGTTTGTTAGAGAGAGACAGACTGTCGTCGTGGGCCAAGCGGGGCGTAGCGTAGCGTGGCGGTGGATGGGGGCGATGGAACCCGTTGGTCTGGCGGTCTGGCGTCACCAGCAGCAGTGGCGGCCCCGTGCAGCCCCCGGCGCCACCTGCGCCACTGGCCGGGCCTGTAATTAACAGGTGGTCTGATAACGAATTGGAGGTGGCGTGAAGGTGGCGGGCGCGCCGCGGGCTGGAGCCGGAGGAGGTCCTCCTGCGGTGTGCCCCTCGCCAGGCCCGAGCCGAGTCCCTGGAAGAGGAGGGTTTATCGGCATCCGAGGGCCAGGCTCGGCACTATCCACAGTTCACAGGGTGCATCGCGTCCCGCGGCGCGGGCGCCGCGCGCGTTGCCCCCCCCCCCTTCTCTGCCGCCATGCCGCTCCCGAGACCAGTATAGATTTCCGTATTTCTCTGGCCTAACTGCCCCTGCCCCCCGGGAGTGTTCTTTTCACCTTGTTCTCCCCCTCCCCTTCCCCCTCACCCCGTCCTTGTTCTCCCCTCCCGCCCCGTTCTCACACCCCTTCCCCCGTGTGCAGCTTCGCGCTTCTCTTTGGCTAGCATCCACGCTCCGCCCCCTAGGCCGCCGCGGTCCTTCCGTCTGCCGCTCTTTTCTTCGCTCTAATCAGAAAGTCAGATGAGTGGACTTGTCCGCTCTGTCGGGTGTCTCGGACCGACGCGCGGGCGCGGGTTCGATCTCGGCCGCGCCCGCCGCACCTCCGCTGCCGCCGCCGTCGCCGTCTCGACGCTCCTCTGATAGCGGTGCGCGACGTCGCTTTATCGCCTTTAGCGAGACAAACACTGGAGCAATAACTCAACCGGCGGGTTATTTTGGGCCCCTCAAATATGGCGCGGCGCGGTGTGCGGCGGTGCAGGGCGGAGTGGAGCGGGGCGGCCGCCAGGTACGGTCATGTGCACCGCGTCGTTGGACCCGCGGGCGGCGCGTGGCAA